CTATTCTTGATCATCTGCATTTCTATAAGACTTTCATAATCAACTTGTCAATTTCTATTTTTTTAATGAAAAAGCCTGCCAAAATTTTTGTCCTTATGGTATTGAATCTATAGATGAATTTGATAGGAAATTTTTGCACAATATTGAGTCTTCCAACCCATGTACAATCCATATCTCTTTTTATAGGTCTTTTAAATTTTTTGTCAAAAATATTTTGTAGTTTTCAGATCGTGTACCATCTTTTATTATACTTATCCCAAAGTATTTTATCTTTTTGATGCTGTTTTAAATAAATTTGATTCACTCTATTTCAATTTCTGTTATTTATATCTATTATATGGAAATATGGTTGCATTTTGTATAGTGATCTTTTATCCTTCCACCTTGGCAAAGTCATTCATTGGTAGACTACATTGTAGAGACCACCAGATTTTCTAGATAGGTAGTCATGCTATCTGTAACACTAAAACCTTCAATGCAATGTTGAGTCAAAATTCCAAGAGCAGACATCCTCTTATTCCTTGTCTTGTGGAAAAGCCATTGCATGTTTCACCATGAAGAATTACATTAGCTATAGATTCTTGCTTATGATCTGTTTAGGTAGGGACAGTTTTTTGTTCCTAATTTGATGTAATTATATCAGGTTATTGATGTTGAATATTTTCAAATGCTTTTTCTGTGTCTACTGAAATAGTCATGTAATCTTTCTTTTCTCTTATAATGTTGATAACATGATGAATTACATTGATTGATGTTCAGTTTAAACCAATTCCTTAGGACCAGTCAACCTCTTGATTCTGAAGTTTGGGGAATATGAGAAGAAAAGTATCCACCATTGGAGACCTGAGTCAGCTAAACTGGAAGGTGAAGCACACAGAAATACTGGAAGCTGTAGGACAACTTGCTGATCACAGAGAGACAGATTCAGGAGATAAAGGGGAAGGGTTAGAGCAGCAGACTTCAAGGCCTAAGGCTGGCTATGGTGAGTACTATGAGCTAAATATGGAACTAAAATATTCAGAGAATTATGAAGGTATGTTAAGCAGCTTTTCAACACCATCACCAAATACTTGAGGAAAATAACTCAGAGAAGGAAAGATGACTTATTTTGGTTCACAGTTTCTGAAGTTTCAGTCCATGGTCAGTGGGTTCCATTACTGTGGGCCTGTGGTGAGCCAGAAATCATGGTGCAAGGGTGTGTTGGAGCCAAGTTGCTCACCTCATAACAGCCAGAAGCAGTGTGAAATGGGAAAAGCCCAAGAAGGGACTATAACCAGATATACCCTTACAGCCAGTCTGACTTCCTGATAGCACATTCAGCTCTGAATAAATAGATTAGTTCACTGATGCACTGGGATCTAGCTCTCAATACATGAGTCTCTGGGGGGACACTTCATCTTTAAAGCTTAACGGGTAAAAATATGCTAGAGTATTAAGCCACTTAGTGAACATACACTACAGGCATTGATTGACACTGACTGACACTACAAGCAAGGAGACTCACATGGCATGTTCTGAGACAGGGAGTCAAAAGTATTATTGCTGGAAGTGTCCACTGCAGTACCTGCAGCATTTAACTACTGCATGTTAACTGTAAACAGGTTCAGGCACTGTGGTTTCCATTTGTGCAGACTCCTAGGATAAAACAAGTTCCAAAGATCATATCTGTCCTAGGTTAGAGATGGTTACAGAGACTGATATGACATCTGTTATATAAGAAGTACTGAACTCGTAGTCTTATGTTGTTTAAGCAGAATATCATCTCTATAACAACTTTCACCCAAACCATCCTCCCTTAGCTGCTGATATTCCATACCTGAATCTTAACTTAGCATCTAGGATATGCTCCTATCCTAGGATATGCAGCATAATTCCCAGAAGTCAAATGTCTTCCAGTCTGCTCCTTTAACCCCATACTGGTCTCTGCCTACAGGTAATAAACTGATGCTACTTATGCAGCTCCCAAGAACACAGCACAAGAGACTAAACATGTCTTCAGACTTTTGCAATGGGATAGTCTACTTATCCAAAACTTCTTCACCCTTACTTTGTCCTCCCTTTCCACTAGGGACTTCCCTGCATTAGTTGCCAGTTTAGAGTCATCCATTCCCACTAAAGTAAATTGTCCTATATCCAATTGCATTCAAAGATAGTAATCACATTCCAAAACATAAAGGTTTTTGAGTCATTATATTTTGGACAATCTGACACTGATCTTTTCCATTGCTAACACAGGGTAGATATATGATCCATGATATTATACTTGTTAGTTTACACTTATATCTCTATCTATCTATCTATCTATCTATCTATCTGTCTGTCTGTCTATCTATATCTATATATATATATATATATTGAAGTAAGACTTAAAAATAATAGATTAGTTTAACTTCTACGTTAATCACAGCCATTTCTGGTATATAGGTAGAGGAAGAGAAGTATGGTGATATCTAAGGAATATGACCTATTTTCTCAATTAAGTGGCATCTCCAGATAGGACACAATTCAAACACTACACACCATAGTTCTACTGCAACAGGCAAACTTCAAGGGCTTAGAAACCATTTTGGATTTCATGACTTCTTAAAAAGGCAGGTTATCCTCAAAAATTCCAATTGTATTTGCAAATATTTTTAAATTAGTCCACACTAATTAAATTATTATTTAAAAATTATAAAACGTATTAACTAGAGTATCACAGAAGTTCGTAATTTGTGTGTATCTAGTTGATGGTTCAATAGGAAATCTTGGGAAGGTATATGCTGAAACTTGCCCTTTGAAAATGGGGCTACAAACCTCAACTGATAGGCAGAATGACTTTAGTATGCAAGTTGCTCTAGAACTCAGTATATACTAGGTTTTCTTTTGATTTTTAAATTTATAAATAAGTGTTTAAGGTGCTCTTTCTCCTAATTAACTAAATGCTAAATTAAATCAAAAGTTTTGACTTTATCCATTAGAACTTTCTTAGAGAGAAATAGTTAAGGGCTTTTCCTTTAAACTTTGCATGGTAAATTCTCCTTACCCAAATTCTCAGATCTGCAAAATTCATTGTCATGTAGCACATGGAATGTATATTAAAAATAAATTAGGTCAACATCTTTAGGCCAGATCTTAAGACCAGCTCTAAGAGATACTTTTAAAACCATAGTTCTGTTTGAAATACTGTAGTGAAATTCATATTCAGGCCATGATAATTTTTCCAGGGACAAGAACCTAGGAAAATGGTTAAAGTTACCTAAAACTCTCTCAGGATATTTCTGTATAAGATTTGTGCCTGTGTGCGTGCACACACACACACAAGCACGTGCGCGTGACATACTTCCAGAGTGTAGTCCAAATATAGATTCATCTTTGCAAATTTTAAATAGGATGAAGTTTTACATATTGAGCTGAGAATAAACATTTTGAAAAAAATGCATGAGATATGTTTTCTTATTTTGTATTATTGGTTCTTCTCAACACTTTCAAGAAACTTGTATTAGTATTTCTTGGTGTACAACATAGTATCCAAAGCCATAGGTTGAAAATAGTAACAAAAAACAATTTTGTGGTTAGTCTGAGTTAGTTCTTCTGTTAGATTTGTAGGGGTTCAACTGTGTTACCATATTCAATTGATGAGTTGGTTAATGATTATACTCTATGGAAGCAGTTGAATCTCTCTGTAAAAAGTCTAGACTCTTTTCCATCATGGTAGAAAAGTACCATAACGCAAGTCCTAATGTGCAAATGATAATCAAATGTTGATCCATGGGCCAAAGGAAGGCACATGGTGAAGGTCAAGTCAATGTGAGTATGATGGTCATTTTTTTCTTTTCTTTCATTCTTTTTTTTTCTGCCACTGGGGATCAAACCCAGAGCCTCACACATGGTAGGCAAATGCTGTAGTGCTGAGCTACATCTCTAGTTCTTTCTTAAAAATTTACTTTGAGACAAAAATCTCAGTAAGTTTTCCAGGCTACCTTTGAACTTGTGATTCTTCTGCCTCAGCCTCCTGAGTTCCTGGGATTATGAATATGCACTATAATGCCAAACAGTTGTGGTCTCTACCATGTGTTAATTTTGCTAGGCTACTGTACTTATGTAATCAAGCCACTAATCTAGGTGTGCCCTGAAGCTATTCTGTAGATGTGGTTAGCATCTATAATTAATTGGCTCTAAGTAAAGAAAATTGCCCTTGATAGTGTGCTTCCTTCTCATCTAATCAGATGAAGGCTTTAAAGCGAAAACAAGTCTCCTAGAGAAAAATAAATTCTTCCCATAGACAGTAGCATTAACTCCTGGCTGAGTTTCTAGTCTTGCCAGGCCCACAATCATATAAACCAATTACTAAAAATAACATCTTGTTAATATATGTTGTTCTTTTTTCCAAGAGCCCTTCTGGATACAGTGGAGAACAACAAAAGGGAGTGACTGCTAAGAAGCATGATACTTTGCAGTCAGTAATGTAGCAATCTGTCACTATTTTGGGGTCCTGCATTGTTTTTGTCCTTCAACATGAAGTTTTCAATATGGTGTTCAGTAAACAACAGATGTATTAGGGGAATTATCTGTGAAAGATGGAGAGACAGCCAGAGAAGGCACTGAGAGCCTTCAACTGTGATCTGTCTTTTTGATACCTGTGGAAGGGGTGGGAAGAAGGGTAAAATACCAGGAATCTCAGCTTCCAAGGTAGTTCTAATAAAGGTTTATCAAGGCCAGTGGAGACTTTCATCCAAAATCCCCATCCAAGGTGTCTGGAGGTTCATTGGAAGGAACTTCACAAGTACTCTTGAGTTGGCCGGAGAAGCAGGGCTTCCCTTGAAAGGAATGATGGATACAAAGAGGTCATACCTAGAACCATCACTAAGTTATGGTTTCCACAATGGCTGCTCTATGCAGTGCACTTCCATGGTTGCCATAGTCTCTCTCTATACTCTATAAAGAATTCTAAAGTCTCATGGATCATGGGATTGGGCTTAGAGTCCATAACGATCATGATCTGTATCTTCTAGGTGTGACTGACACTTCTCAGATGTAGCTCTCCATGTCCAGAGATAACAACAACAACAACAACAACAACAACAAAAGCCAAGTCATCTGTTTCCATTAACCTAATACAAAATTGTAAGACACAAGAGATGTTCCCCTTTAAAAGGAGGAGATATGGTGCTCCTTGGTGGCAGCATCTCTCCCACTGTGTACAGCTATCAAACCTGGCAGAATGGAGCAGCTACTCAAGGAATATGAAAAATAACTGGCGGGGCATTGGGGAAGAAGATTAGTATTCAAATTTTTAAAAAAATCAATGGTAAGTATCCTTCTTTTTTTCTTTCTTGTATACCTAGTAACCTAGAAGTTGGCAACAGAGGCCAAATAGAAAGAAGCCTTCTAGCTCTGGTACAAAAGTTAGGAAAAAAAATGTATAATACTAGGACAAAATATGAAAATAACCCCTTTTTTCCCTTTTTTTTCAAAGCATTCAACACATTAGTAATTCTGTGATGATGAGGCCACAGTCAGAAAACAGAAGCCAACACATACTCCCTATGCAGAGGTGCTGCCATAGCAAGTGGGTGGGTACCCTCATTGCCTTTGTCCTCTACCTTGCTGCTTGGCCTGGGATGTATAGGAAGTTGTAGATGTACACAGGAGAGCAGGATACCAAAGGGGACCAAATTAGGAATACTATGGAACATAAGTACCAGAAATATAGCGGAGAGAGAATTCAGAATAGCAACCTCATAAAGCCACTTCTGAAATATTGCACTCACCCTAAACTTGTGAGTACATAGATGTGACACAGCACTGCCCAGATCCAAGACTGGTCACTTAGTGGCACATAGGTAGAGTGGATCTGAATAGATTGTCAGGGATTTGAAGCCTGAATTGACACTGGAAACACTGCATGGAAAGTAGGATAGAACTTATGAGCTGAACCAAATCAGTTCAGCTGCCTGCTAAAATAAAGATAGCGACATTCTTCGCAGCATTTAAACAAAGCTCCAAATCTCATAATACTCAAAATGTCCAGGAAACAATCCAGGCAAACAATAACCAGGAAAATCTTGACTAACATGAGAAAGGAAAACCTGATGCCAAAGTCAACATGACAGAGATGTTAGAATTACCTTGCAGCAAGGAATCATGGACATTCCTAAAGGCAATGGAAAAATGGAAATTCTCTGCAAAGAAATTGAATATGTAAAGAAAAATCAAAGAATCAAAATTTATTTATTTATTTATTCATTTATTGAAACAGGGTCTCTCCATGAAGTTCAAATTGGCCTTGAATTCACTATGTTGCCCAGCCTGGCCTCAAACTCTTGATTCTCCTGCCTCAGTCTCCCAATTGCTGGAATTAAAATACATGTGCCACTATGCCTGGTTCAAAGAAAATTTTAGAACTCCAAACACAGTAACTCAAAGAAAAAAACTATGGAATGGATTCAAAAACTGAATGATGGGAAAAAGATCAGTGAACTTGAAAATAGATCAATAAAAATTACTCAGTTTGAGCATTGAAAAGCAAAAGGATTTATAAAAATATCAATAGAGCTTCAGGGCTTATGAGAAAATAAGAGAACTAACACTGCTGTTATTGTAGTCTGTCGAGGAAGGAAGAAAAATAGAGTTATGGAAAATATTTGAATCTATAATGGATTGAAATTCCCAGATTTGGTAAAATATGTATCTCTACTCACTAATGAATCATGGCAAATCTCAATTCTAAAGATAGCCACACACAGGGTCATAATAATCAAATTAGTGATAACTAATAACAAAGAAAAATAAGGAAATTGGTCATTAGGAAATAACACATTGGAAAATGGTGCAAATGAATATAGTTTTATCACCAGAAGCCAATGAGGCCAGAACGAGTTTTTGTAAAGGGTGAAGGAAAAGAGCTGTCAACATGCATTGTCATATGCATTCAAAATATCCTTCAGGAAGGACTAAATACAAATGCTTTAAGATGAGGACAAAATGAGAAAGCTTTGTGGCCAGCAGCCCTGCTCTAAAGCTTTTATTAATAGAAGTTCTTCAGACTGAAATGACATGATATCAGAAGGGAACTTGGAACCTCAGGAATGATGGAGGAGAACAAAAGTGGTAAGTATCTGAGTAAATATAACAAATTAATTTTTCTACTTTGTGGTTAAAAGTGTTCAACAATTGAAAGCAAAACACATAATACCGCCTGATTGAGTTTTCAGTATAAGAGGTGTAATATATAAAACAAGTATATAATGGACCTATATGAGGTAAAATCTTTACATTCCATTTTAAAAGGAAAAATACTGTTTTTAAGTTGACCATGAAAAGATAAAGATGTGCATGAGAATCTCTAGAAAAAGAAGTAAAATATTGTATGAAAAGAAATATTAAAATACACAATAGATAAAATAAAAATTAGTATGTAATGCTCAAATAATCTGAAAGAATGAAAGAAAAGGGGAAATAAATGCAAAGTTGTATGAAAAAAATAGAAAGAACAGAATATGTGTAAATTCAAAACTATCAATAATAACATTAAATACAAGATGCAGATGGTCTAAATACATCAATTAAAGGACAGATGTACTCAGAATCAACATGAATTAACTAAATACTTTCTACCTGAAATTCATTTCAAATATAAGGAAATAGGAAAGTAATAGTAAAGTAGGAGATAAGGTTTATTAAGTAAAAACTAATCAAAAGAAAGTGGTAATGGCTAATTAGTATCAGCCAAAGATTTCAGAACAAACAAAATGACTAGGAATAAAAAACAATATTACATAAAAAGTGTCAATTCATTTATTGAGTATATCCTCAAAATAGAACTTCAACATACATAAAGGAAATCTGAAAGCATTGAAAGAAGAAAGATAACTAACAATAATTGGAGACCTCAGCAATCCTCTCTCAGTAAAAGAACTAGTGGGTAGAAATCAGCAAGGCTACAAGGAACTGAACAGTACCATCAAGCGAAGGATCTAACTGACATATATAGAGCACTCTATCCAGCAACAGAGAATTCATATTCTTTTCAGGTGCACATGAAACATTCTTCAAGATAGATACCCTAGATCATAAAATAAATACTTCAATTTCTATAAAATAGAAATCATACAAAATATGTTCTCTGACCATTTTGAACTGAACAATAAATCAACAGCAAAATGGGAACAAGAACATCATCAAATACTGGAAATTAAACAATACACTTCTAAATAACCCATTATTCAAAGAGTAAGTCTCCAATGAAATTAGTAAATATTTTTGACTGAAGAAAATACATTAACATTTATGAGATGTAGCTATCACATTTTTCAGAAGGAAACTGCTGACAGCATTAAATGCTTATATATTATAAAAAAGTCAAATCAATACTTTCAGCATGTACTACAGGAAACTAGGAAAAGAGCAAATTAGCCCAGAGCTTAAGAAAGTATAAATATAAAATCAGAACTCAATGAAACAGAATTCAGAAAATTAATTAAAAATATCAACAAAACCAAAAGCTGTTCAATGAAAAGGTGAATAAAACTGACTCCTCTAACAAGATTGATTGGGGGAGGGAAACTAAACTAGTACCAGCAATGAAGGAGAAGAGCAAATATAATTTCCCAATTTTCTTCCCTCATGATGTTAAAATGATTACAAAAGAATACTATCAGCAACCATGCACATAAATTTGAGATGACATTGTCCAATTGATCAATGACTCAAAAACTACAAAGTACTTAAACTCACACAAGGTAAAACAGATAACCAAAATAGTCATATAGGGAAATAAATCTATTTCTATTTACAGGTGACAAACAGAGGAGGAATGAGAGGTAAACAGCATACTCATTTAAATTTTGAAACCCACCATCAATTTCCATTCAAGCCAAGGAATGTTCCTTGAATAGAGTCAAGTTTGGTTCCACAGAAGTGGTTCCCTATTTTATTGTTCTCCTCCTGGGTTCCATCCTTCCCTAGAGAAGTCCTTCTTTTCATAAGACATAGCTGGTTAGAATAGCTTTAGTTGAGTAGTTTTTCCAGTCTTCTTCCTGTTCGTAGAATGCTGGGGTCCAGATGCTTTCTCACCTTGTACTGACTTGGTCACTTTTACTCCACACTGGTGCTCTTTGGGCATTATAAGATTCTAATGGTTCCAAATCCCACTTCCATAATTTATTTCATAAGGGTTGCCTTTCTGCTTACATAAAATGTCTTGGACAATACTATTTAGTATTCCTAAAAAGGTTTTTGTCTAGTTGCTCTGCAGGTCTACTAGGAACCACTTCAATCTTCCTGAAATGTTAATAAACACTTTTATAGACAATGTATCTCATTTGATTTTGTCTGACACTTTAGTGAGAACCTGTCAGCTAGAGAGATGGTAAATGTGAAGTCATTCTACTTTCCTCAACCCAAAAAGACTTGGGGCATCTTTATTTCTTTTAAATTGTTTGAAAACTGAAATTCCTCCCTGAGTTATTGTCCCTTACCATCCACAAATAAAAGAAGTTGATTGCAATTTTGTCCTCTTCTATGGAAAAGCTCTTAGCTAAACCTACATGCTCATTAGGTACTGTTATGGGTTGTGTTTAGATGTCCCCCAAAAGCCTCATGCTTTCTCAGAGGTGGCTGAATCTAGAATGTGTGATTGACTCATGGTGGGGCTAAACCTGAGAGTACTAGGATTAAGGGCATGAGTGCTACCCGCCCTAAGTAATCTGAATAAGATAAAAGGGGCTGGAAGATACTGTGGTATCTTGTTGCTTTTGCTGTCTTCTGATGCCATGAACAGTTGCCCCTCTGCCACCCTGCCTTGAAGCCAACTGATTATGGACTGAAACCTCTATGAACTATAACCAAATAAACCTTTCCCCCTTTAACTTTAGGTGCCGGGTATTTTGTATCAGCAAACGGGAGAAAACTAAGACAGGTACATAGTTTCTATCTTTGATATTACTACAGGGATAATTATGAGAATGGTGTTTCTAGTTTATATAGGTTGACTGGTCCAAAAGCCAATGGCATATATAACAGGCTTTTGTTAAAACTATTTTCTGTGTACTACTTCTTCTATTACTTTGTGTAACAACCCACCGCAAAACTTGGTGGTTTAAAATAGTAACTATGAATTTTTCCCATGATTCTGTTATGGTGGGAAGAAGATTCTTCTACTGTTCTTATTCATTCATGCAACAGGGGTCATGATTCATTGGAAGTCATTAATGTAACAGTCCACCACAACTTTGTTGTATGCAGAAAGAACTGTTAATGTCAGGCATTTTGGTCCAGAAAATTTGATCTGTATATACATTACAACAATTTAAAACAACAAAAAGTTTAGGTTAAGACAGCTTCAGTCATTTCATACCAGAGTTCAAAAGCATCTAGTATTTTTCTTCTGATATGAGATCTTTTGATTGTTAAAACCACTACTATAATATAATCCCATCTTTGTAAGCAAGGGAGAAAGGCATTTCTGATCAGTTACATGAAAATATCTAATTCATCGGGAAAGACAAATCCATTGTTCCTTAATGAAAGCAAGGCCAAAGAGAATTTGAAAAATCAAGCTATCCTACATATCAAGATATCCTATATATCCTAATTAGAGTCCATGGAGGCTAATACAAAGTGAAGCTTATGAAAAATACATTGAAGTCTTTAAGATTCTTTATTATTTCCGGCTGTTTAGGCTCAATTTGTTAAACATAGTGGGGCATTTCTCATTAATCCATCATTTTTGTGGTTTGCCTAATTTGCAGCAGTCTTCATGTCTAACATACTGTGCATTTGAATAAGCAAAATATTAACATTTGTGGCATACAGCTTATTTTTAGAAAAAATAAAAAGTGGCATAATCAAAACCATAATTTTTTCTTTTAGTAGTGCATTTCATGACCTATATTTGCAATAATTACTCTATAAACTACATTGTTCCTGTGTTATGAAATATTCTTTGTATATTTTACTGTTTTTCTTCCTCTCTCTCTCTCTCTCTCCATCTCTATAAACTACATTGTTCCTGTGTTATGAAATATTCTTTGTATATTTTACTGTTTTTCTTCTTCTTACAATGTTGTTCCCAAATTATATGAATAATTTGAATCTTTATATGAATAAAAAAAGTTTCACCTGACATTATTTTTCAAAGATATGACTTTGTTTTTCATCTGGTATATTATTTTCCCCTTTTTTTGCTATTTTCTTTAATCAGCTGAATTTAGCCATAATGAATGAACTATGTATTTTTTAATCTTTTTAAGCATTCTTGCTTTTTCCCACAATGTGTCTAAAAAAGGAAAGACACATTTATCTTCATGTGCACACACTTGTTTTAATTCATGGATTTTGATGCAATTAATTAATTAATAATCAGACAATTTTTGTTACATATAACAGAATTTCATTTTAATATAACCTATGTCCCTTAAAATGTGAATATTTGATTTCTTTTGAACAGATGGATATTACTATTTTATTTAACAAGGAGATAAATAGCTGAATTTCATAAAATCAAAAATATTGATTGGATTTTTTTCAGGTGCTATAGAGTGACCCAATTCCCTAGATGGTTCTTTTACAGCAGGGGGCCCACAGGTTCTCTTCTTGCATGAAAGTTTTAAACTTTTGCACCCTTAAGCCTGTGATGGGTAGGGTCATGGTAATTCCTGAGATTCCCTCAAGTTATTTTTTTTTTCACCTAGTTCAAAAGTCCTTGGGTTTCTGTTTAATGGTACTAATCTCTTCAGCAACCACATCTTTTTTGGCCCCAACTTTGCATGTGCTTGATTTCTGGCAAAAATGTAAAATTTTCAAATCTTCTTGCTCTGCCTTTTGCTCCCAACTGTCATTATAAATCTGGCTAAAACCAGCCAGCAGTACCCACACTGCAATCTGAACATTGAGATGCCTTGGAATAGCCTTTGTCAAATCTTTTAGTCCATAGCCCTTGAGCTCAGCCTTCCATGAAGTTTCAGGTCATGGCCAAAATTTAGACAAGTTCTTTGAAAGAATGAAAGATACAGGGGATACCAGTCCAATTTTCATTGAAACTCTTCATAAGCTTGGCCTTTATTGTTTACATTCCTATCAGCCTTGTGGTTCTCTGAACTCTGACCAGAACCATCCACTAAGACTTACTTACAGCTTTCTTGGGGGTTTCTCTATTCACCTCTGCAAACTTTTCCAATTTTTTCCTGTAGATCACTCTGAAAGCTTCTGAATCATATGGTCAGGTATAATCACAACAACCTCATTTTTCTGGTACCATTTTTCTGTATTAGCATTCTAATTGTTACAACTGAATACTTGACACCTACAACTTAAAAGAGGTTACTTTTGGTGTAATGTCTAAGAAATCATTCTCAAATTCAATGTCACAATGTTTTCTTCCCTGTGTTTTTTTCTGGTTTTAGTTTCACACATCATATTTAGGTCTTTAATTCATTTTTGGTGAAATTTTTTATACAGCAATTTCTTCTCATGAAGATATGTTCTAAGAGCCCCAGTGGATGTCTGAAATTATGCAAAATACTGGACCTTATATATACTATGGCCAAAGGGTAGATAAGTTCTTCATCTTTCCAAATCCCCCCTTACTGTAGATCTTAGCATCCTTAGCATAGTTTTTTTTTTTTCTTTCTTGATTAAGAGCTTTCATCTTTTCACATATAGGACTTTATTGTTTCTTTGGGCATATCCTTACTCTTGTGCTTTGCACCATTTTTGAGCAAAATAAGGGTGACTTGAACATAAGCACTGTAAAAATGCAACAGTATGATAACCAAGATGGTTACAAAGGGACTACTGGATAAGGAGTAAATAAACTGTGAATATGTTGGACAAAGGCATGATTTATGTCCTGAGCAAGACAGAGTAAGGTAGTGTAAGATTTCATCATGCTACTTAGAATAGCATGTAATTTAAAACTTATAAATTGTTTATTTCTGTAATTTTCTACTTAATATTTTCAAAATTGATCGGCCTTGGGTGCATGAAACCATGGAGAATGATATGGTGCTCTACTGTATGCTGTAGGGTGAAGATTCTGTGTCATTCTTTTGCATATGGACATCTAGTTTTTCTAACATTATTTGTTGAAGAGATTATCCTTCCTAATTGTACAATCTTGGCATCCTTGTTGAAGATGATTTACTTATATGCATGAGAGTGTATTTGTAGGTTATGTATTCTGTTTCACTTTTCTATACATCTGTTTTTATGCCAGGAACAATATTTTATTACTCTATTTTATAATATGTTTTGAAATATAAAAGTATGGTTCCAGTTTTCTCCTTTCTTGGGACTGTTTTGATTGCAGGATTTAGATTTTTGAATTTCTCTTTTTATCCCAATGGCTCTGTGCCATTCATACCCTCACTCTCTTTCAAGATCTGCCATAAGCAATAATCTATATCCTTTGTATTGAGCTTGGGCAATTAGGAGTAAGATCAGTAGAATAGCCATAAACACTTTTTCTTAGTATAAAATCAATTTACTCAAGCCAGGGATTTAGCTCAGCGGTGTTGCCGCCTGCCTCAAAAGCACAAGGTCCTGAGTTCAGGCCCCGGTACCAAAAAAAAAAAAAAAAAAAGAAAGAAAGAAAGAAAGAAAAGAAAATAGGACTTTCAGAAGAGAGTCCTTGTTGAAATCAATTTACTCAACTCAAATACTCAGTCTAAGAATATCCTAATTGACTAAATTTTTTTGCTCCTATTTCATATTTTATAGTCATAGAAGAAAAGATAAACTGAATCTCCTGCATATGATAATTTGAGTACAGGAACAAAACCAACTCAAACTCTCAAACCATAGATAATGGCAAAACTAGATACTACACCAAAGTCATCCACTAGCTGAAACTACACTAGAAATGAACTCCAAGTGAGAAGAGAGGGGAAGGCTGAAAGTAATATTGACACTTGACACTGTTGTATTTTCTGAAGAGACCTGTGTACTGTATTTGTCAGACTGAAAATACGTTGTAAACATTTATCTTCCTTGTGATTAGAAAGCAAGATAGAGAGAATTTTCTACATTTCAGTACAACTATACTTAAGTCAAAAGTAGTAATTATTTTTTATGAAATTTAGTGTTGAGGGATTCTTAATTACTACATGTAACATTGCATAAAAGACCTATCATTTTGTCAATTTAAAAATATTACAATCAGTTAAAATGTGGTACTGCTGTCCATCTCCATCATGCATATTCTTTATATTTCTACTTGGCATAAGAATTATATAGTTTGCTTCCATCTAACAAAAGTTAACTTCAGCCATCCAGATGTTAATATTTAGGAAAAAAAAACAGGGGTTGGGTCTATGTACTGTACTTCCCATTTTTATAGGCTGTTTTTAAAATCAAATATTAATGAAACAATAGGGAGCATATCAGTTCAATAGTTAATTCCAGTATTAGATTCCTTAAGCTTTCAACAGTTAGGAATGTATCCTTGGTCTCAAAGCCCCTGGAATCTTTTTAAAGAGTATCTTTAAAATGCTTTAGTTGTATATCTGCAGCTACCTTATATCAACTAGATCTACACAAAGGAGGAGGGTCTTGGATTATGCCTGTAATGCCAGGCTTTCATCAGATTAACACATGATGATGAATTTCATGTTAGGGGTAAAACAGTTATTTCTTTTTCAATACAGACTGATAAGCCCAATACAATACAGATTGATAAGCCCAATCAGACATCCAGACAAGGCTTATGAGGCTATGAAAGTCAGGAAAAATGTATCATCACAGACTGAAAAGCATTTAGCTCACTGTTGTCAGAAAGGATGAAAATTGAAAAAATTTTAACATTATTTGTTTATCTAATACATGTTAAATTTTTCAAATAATCACAGTAGAAGAAAAAGAGATTGTTATCCAATAGTAAGTAAAAGATGTCAGATAAATTAAGTAAAAATCATTATTATTCTCTTTAGAAGATAAAACTTCAAAAAGTGAAGTAATGAAATGATTCAATTATCCACTGTGAGCTGGGATTCTTTTCATTTTAATACTGTTTCCAAGATGGGTATTTTTTAAAACTTTCAGTAATTAATTCATAGTAAGTATACAATTTTTTTAATAAAGTGACATTTCATATGAACTGTTGCATTGATTATGATCAAGATTAAATAGTCCCAATGTTAAGCATATGTATAACTGACATTTTAAAAAAGTTATTTTCTTCTGGACATGTCATATGCCAAGTTTGCACTGGTACCAGAAATAATATCTCGAATTGCCCAAATGTCTACATGATTAATAAGTTAAATGCACCAGCAAATATTTAATGACTAAATGTTTTTATTTTAGGTAACAGAATACTATGTAGGGTGTAAATATAAACATTTATTTTAGTACCATGTGAAGCATTGTTTAAGGAAAGCAAAGAAACCTGGGCACCAGATAAGAGGCACTGTTTTTGTATGATACAGTTGTTGCATTCGATAATATTTCATGGATAAGTAACCTAGAATATTTTGCCATGAACCACAATGGAAGCTCCAAACTGATGGCTTTTTTATTCTTTCATAGAACAAATCAGCAACCTGACATGATATCAGAGTTTTGAGTGCCCACTCATCAAGGCTGAGAAAGCTCCAACGGACTAGGGTCTCTGCTGATTCTGAGAAGTCAAAGTTAAATGAATGCATCATTTCTAACTCAACTACTAAGAGATACAGGATGATTATAATTATTCCTTGTATCCAGGATACCTCACAAGACTGAGGCAACACCAAAATGATGAAATATCGTTTTTAAAAAAGCAATCAATACTGGCCATTTATTATCTCAAGTTGTATTTGTGAATGTCAGGTTTTGCTTACAGATGCTGCTGTATATCTGACTTCACTGATTCTTAGTGATGTTCCTTTTCATATGTTGCTCTAGCTATGTCCAGGAATGAGATGGAGGGTATGGAAAGTGCTCTCTTCTTTTACCGGGACTGACTTAGCTCAACATACTCTAGAACTGTACTAGTTTAGTTCTAGAGTAAAATAAAATGCTAACACCAAGTCTGGGAGAGATTTATGTACATTTATTATAAATTTTTGATAAAAATGTGATTTGCATTCTTGAATATTCATAAGTATTCTATTTATCTACATACAAATAAACCTCAATATTAATGGTAAAACTTTAGCATTTTTTTTGAAACAGGCTCTTGCTTTGTAGCTCACACTTGCCTGGAACTCACATTCCTCCAGCTTCAGCATTCCATTTGATGGGATTTCCCGTGTGCAATACCATGCCCAGGTCAAACCTTAGGGTTTTAAAGAGGAACATTTCTGCCTTACCTACCTACCTCCATATATTTCCAACTCAAAATGAGTTTGCATAAGAAACATTTAGATTTGTAAAGAAAATGATTATTTTTAGTATCTATACTTCCCTTCCAGCTTTGGGAGAGTAGCAGCCCATGAAATCTAATACATAAACTAAGGCTCTAAGACCCTCTGTGATCCATGTTCACACTCAGCCAATTCCATGGCTGCAATAGATCAGAAGAGCTTTGTGCAAAGAAATGCACTTACATGACAAGCACTGCATAAATGTGATTCTCTTCAGGCAGACAGACACACATACTCACAGAGATCAGAAGAAATATATTTCTTGAAAGTATCATTTTAACTACCCTGTGGAATCCCAAGAAAAAAATCATCAACAAATACATTTATGTTCTTCTATGTAGTCGACAAGAAGCAACAGAAAAATAAAAATAAAAATATAAAACAGTGATTATGAATTAAGAAATTCAAGATACACAAATATCTTAAATACTAAAAGAAAAATATAGCAATCATAAAAAATATCTAAACCTATGCACATTATTGAATGCCTCATAAAAGTATTTACCTATGACTGCATGGGTGTCAAGTTTGGCTTTTTCCGGAGTAAGTACCTGAGCTAAAATATTTCATGGCAGCAAAGAGGAAAAACTACTTTTTCAAATGTGTACCTGCATTCTAATTTGTCTGTATACTTATCCATGACTATTTATGTTTCCGATTTGTCAATCAAGGCTAAAAACATTTTCCTTTGTTACTACCAAACAATTCTAAAGTGAGAGCATACAAATACTAATATACCTGCAAGTATTTATAATTATCTTGTGGATAAAATGTTACAGCATATAGATAGTCTTCTGAGGACTTGCTTTGGCTTCAGTCCTTTGAAGAGGATGGTGCTTCTACAGTAGCCCTCTACCCTTCTAAGGATTTCCCTGTCCATAAACCACAGCAGGGGGGTAAGACCCAACATTTTTCCTTGGTCAATTTACTCGGAAGCAGCATGGTGATTAATCCCATGGTCCTAAGGGTAGTTTCTCAGCAGTCCAAGAATTTTGACTCTCACTGAGATTACTCAAGATTGAACGTGCCCTCCTTTACTCACCCTCAACACATAATCAGGGCATGAGGCACCCCATCTAGAGAGGACAGCATCCAAAGGAATAAGGAGAGTACACTGAAATTATAAACACTACCATATTTTACAGCTGTCCTTTTATATTAAACAATATCAAGCATACTATCATGATAAACTGAGGACACTTTGTTCTAAAAATAAATTGTTGAAACAAATAACAGTGCAAAATAGGAAAAAAATTTATTTTTATAAAATACAGTCTCTAATTTCAGATACAAAATACTACATATAACCATACTTATATATCTTCTAAACTATAATTTCAGGATTTATATTTTTAAAAGTTATCTCTGGTGAATTTCAAATTTAGAATTTTTATAGGATTTAAATATATCTATATTGAATATTTTCTTTTTGAAACTGAAGCTGGACATCACTATAATCTAAAATGAGATTCATAAGGTCAAAGAACTGTGTCTTTAGATAACTTTTCTCCTTAACCTGTCATAACCAAATATCCTTAAAACTGCACTTCCTCTCTTTTCAACAAGTTCCAATTAGAATGGTTCATGACTTGTGTTTCATTTTAACTTTTTCTGGCTTTTGGATTCCTCTAGGTCAGAAGAGGTGAACCTATGTCATGCATGCTGGCAGTGGGCTGTTTGTATCTAAAAGGTTCACAATTATCGCTCTAGATTATTTTGACAGAACTATAAGATCGCATCGTGTTGTCTCCCCAGAGAAGCCGTTTGTTGTATGCTGCTGTCAAGTATTTTAACTGAAAGCTAAAGGAAGAAATTACCCTCTTGCTTCCATTTTCCTTAAGCATAAATGATAATTTCAATCATAACCATTGCCAAATGTTTATTTTTTATACTGGATTCCTAATTAAGTGGGATGATTGATGATTGAGGATAATTCAAAAGTGTTTCAGAATCACTAACTGCCAGGGTTCTGTAAAACATTTTTTACAAAATGGAATATTAACACTCTGAGGACACGATTACACTCATACAACATCTACTGTATGCTTTTATGGAATGTGAGAGTAAAGGGTATGTTCGTCATAACTAATGTGGTAATGCTACTCTATCGTCCTGTCACTCTCAGTCAGCAAATATGGAGAACCTACTCTGCTTCTGTTTCTAGCCCTGTGTATTTGTATATTGTTAATTTCTGAAGAGAACCAGTATAAACTCAAGAGTGACACCTTGATGAATATTTAAATGTACAGTTATTTTTGTACAGATCTTACAAAAGTATTTTAGACCATGAATATCTGCATGGGAATGAGTAAATTAATGATTTCTGAGAATTCTCTAAAATGAAGAATATTTTAATAGATGCTTTAATTCTTAAATATCTCTATTTGAAACTCATTTGTTGTATGGAACTATTGAATAAGAGAAACTCTTGCTCTGTTTCATAAAATAACAAGTACTTATCATGCTACATGCTTGAGACTGTGAAAATGTTTACTTTTACTCTTACTTGTAAAGAAATAATTGGATATCTTAACTTCCATTTAAGTTAGTAATAACCAGCTTCAATAATCAGTATTTGAAAGTGTGCATACACATACACACACACAGATACATACACATACAAAAAGTAACAATAAAATAAGAAGGCCTAATGGGGACGTATGTCAATAAACTTCATTACAGTGAGACAGACAAGAGAGCCCTGACTCCTTTATCCGGTTTTATAAGACAGAACACAAGTAGTATTTTGCAAGACTATAGACTTTTTTTCCATTTGTACTATTTCTTGGTAAAAGTAAGATTCTCTCTCTCTCTCTCTCTCTCTCTCTCCATGTGCATTTATAGACACCAATAGTAAGCAAATATGAACTAGAGATCAGTAAGTTACTTTTGGCTATTTCTGTTATGTTGATCAGGTGAGAAAAAGCTGGGATTCATCTTAGGAGCCCTTGTGTATGGTTTAAGTCCTTTACAGCTACCATTAGCTGTCAGCTACACCATGGATATTGTCCATATGCACTTTGAGGTAGTCATTCCTTGTAAACTTCTTATGGCAAAACTGGCACTCTGCCAGTGGACGATTGGGATTATGAGTCATCTTGTGTCGGATCAGCATTTTCTTCAGGCTAAAAGCCAAGTCACAAACCTAGAAAAGATCCAAAGATACTAACCATATTACACTGAAAACCCTGAAGATATACCAACTTATCATTTATATAATATACATTATTAAAAGTTCTGCTGTCATGTTTGTATTAATAGGTCTAAGAAAAATGATTGATCTTGGAATAAATGAAATTTAACATCCATATGAATGGGTAAAGGAATTAATTAAATTTCCAAGTTACTTTTTGTATTTAATTGTACCCTTTACACCCTTTACACCCTCCCTTCCCTGAAGCATCTCTAGAGAAGCAGCTTCTTACAAATACCTTCCACAGGATTGATGAAGTGCACAATGAATGGTAAACCTCTTAAGTGAAAGACTTCGTGGTCTAGATGGCATTTCTCTCTATGGAATAAATGACCTAAGACATTCTCACCAGTGATCCCTTCACATTAATCCCATTTGTGATGCTGATGGCTAATGTTGCTTCAGGCACAGTAGGGGGACACTTATTACCCACTATTCCATTTTTTGTTTCTTATTATATGCTTCGTTTAACTAAGGAATGTAACAAGTTTACTTCATATAAGCTCTGCCGCACTGCCACTTGGCTCAACATACAACCTGATAATTAAAAACATTAAGTTAGCACAGAACATGTAAGGCATAATTACTTAAGTTATAAAAAGAAATGAAATTCAAAGCTCGATGTTATTCACAAAAATTTTATTTACATAAAAATCTTCAAAAGCACATCCATTCTAAAATAAGGCACATTTAACTAAAGTGAAAACAACATGAAAAGCATAATGAATATAATGAGAATGGAATTGCTTGTAAAAATACTGTAAAGAAAGCTGGAATCCTGAATGAGGTGAGGCTTGCGAAAATAGTACAGCAAATAAAAATTGTGCATTCCTTTTGGAGGAAGAAGGACTTGCATTCACAGCAACAAGAAACTTGAGCATGAAGTTCTAATTGGATAAGAAGGGGCACTAATCCAATAATAATATATTTCAGCTTACACGTAAGTAGCAGCATAGTGTGGCAGAAAGAATATAAGCTTTTGAGTCAGATCACTTTCTAAGGAAGCTTGTCTTACATCCCAATGTAAAACTGAGACATGCCATCCTCTCTAGATACCTTTTTCTCTGCTCAAATTTGGTTTTTACAGAACACTTGTCACTTCTGACCCACAGCATAGTTAATTTATTTACTTTATTGTTTCTTGTGTCTCTACTCACTGGAGTTTCAGCTCCATGAGGGAAGAGATCTCTGTTGCATTTTACTGACACATATATTCTACTAAGTTATTTGCTGAAGATCCAACTTGGGTTTGAATTCTGACTATCTCTTCCTAAGGGAGGTAAAATTAACAAATTACCCTTTTAACCTCACTTCCCTCACCTGTAAAATGACAATAATGGTCTCACAGAAATGTAAGAAAAAAATAATTAAGGCAAACTGGTGAGATTGCAAACTTAATAAATGTTAGTGAATAATTTTTCCCTTCCATCTTTTCCAGCAAAAAGTATCATCAGCAGATTGGAAAGAATAAACTGATGTTAATAATAAAGAGTCAAAAGCTACCATGGGTGTGATTTTGAAAGAAAGATGCTATTCTAAAGAATGGCAGTGCCCTAGAGTGTCCAAGTATTTTGCAAGCAAATAGGATAAATAATTTCCCAGAGTAAACATAAATTAGCCAATTATTCTCAGGAAATGACATATTTCTTTTGGAGTAGGTCATAAGTATAAGCTTGGTAATTATAATTAGGGACAGAGTATATACCTTTCAAGTCACGGTACAGAGCTGAGCTGCTTTAAAATCAAGGAAAAAACTACTAAAACATGATGACTATAAAATATATAAATTTTGATAACTGATATAAAAGTGTTAACTATCCTTATTAAAAGAGAAGACTTTGAAACTAGGGAAAAAAGCAAGATGAAAACATAGAGTGTACTTAAGATATACATTTCCAAAAAGTAACACACACACAATTTAAAAAGTGGGGGTTAGAATGTGGATATAAGTGTATAAAATGATACTCACAGGGCATAACTGGTATTGATTCATGCTTCCTCAAAAACAACCTGAATAGACAGAGACAGCATCCCGCAAAGAACCAGGAGTACCACTTATATGAACATCTATGAAAGATTTATATATAGGATGCTTCCACAGAATTATTTATAAAGTTGAAATGCTACAAATTACTTACTTGGCCAAAGTTAACACATACACTCCTTTCTATATAACCAGGTGAAGAAATACTTTTCACCTCTTAAAAAGATCATACTTTGAAAAATGTTTAAAGGCAAGAAGAAATGTAAATGGAAGAAAACAATAACAAGATTACTGCAATTTAGTCTACAATACTGAAATACAGAGGATAAAGATATTGCAGAAATAAATATGTGAGGAAATGTCAACAGATAAATATTACTTGACATCAGCTGGGAAACTGTAGATTGTTTTGTTTGTCTTCATTTGTTTCTATATTTCTTCATTTTTCTGGTGTTAAAAAGCAAATTTTCTATAACCCAAAACCTCATAGATCAACTATTCTTTTAAAGAGACATTAGTACTATTATCCCCATTTTACAGAAAGAAATGGAGATATTGAAGGTCACTCAAATTTTCCAAATCACAAATGAATTCCAAGATTTAAACCCAGACAGTCTGGGCTCAGATTCCACACCACCTCCAAAGGGTTAATTGTTAGTAAAAACTTTCACTGCAAGCAGACATGTGAGCTCATCTTACTTTTCCCATTTGTCTGGCTAACACTATTTGAAAAACTAAAAATGACTGTGAAAGTATAAGGAAAGTTCTTAGTTCAGCTCACCAGTGTGGTGTGGTGGGGGATATGATGTGTGAGTCCATTTACACAATCACCAAGGGAAATTACAGCAAGAGCAAGCTGGAGATGATGGAAAGGAAGCTGAGCAAGATGCTGAAACCACTGATAATGGTTGTGAATTAAGAAAGCCCTAGAAGCCCTGCACAGGGGATGAGATGGGAACAATCCAACAGATTGTTGAATGTAAGCCAGAATGGGGGATTAAATATCAGTACAGTACAGTACAGTACAGTACCTCATGTCACAGATGAGCTGACTACCTAGAAATTAAAAGTTTTTTGTTCATGATCATAAGTGTAGTCATTAAAGGACTCCAAATGATGATCTGGATAAATCAGCCACATGCAAAGACATTCACAGTTATTTTAAAAATAGGGGAGAGCAAGAAAGAATTCAAGTGTCAAAACAGGGATGTTTCTTTTTCTTTCTTTCCATTTGAAATTCTTAGACAACTCTCTCCCTTACTGACTTAGCATAGAATGCTAAGTCAGAATGGAAAAACCTTTATTTTTACTATTATACTAGTCTAGAGATTAAAAAAAATTGTTTTAAAGTATAAGTGAAACAAGATATTTAACAGAAAATACCTTGATATATGGGAATTAGAATTTTATGCAAGTATCTTTAGTTAACAAATACTACATACAATGTGTCTATCATTTCAGTTAGGAATACAATGACAAAACATACTGTTTTGCTCTGTGAAGTCTCAAGTGTAGGGAGAGGTATTTGCAATGTCATTAAATTTGTGCTAAGAGAGGCACAGTGGCAAGTGCAACAAAAGACAACACAATTTTGAAACTTGAAACGCAAGGACTTGATAGACATTTCTTCAGGAAAGACATAAAATGGACAAGAAGCACAGGGGAAAATGGTCAATACCATTAGTCTTTACGGGAATACAACTCAAAATCACAATGAGATACACACCCCCAAAGAGATAGTTATAATTAATCAAACAAACAAATGGAAAAAAAATGTTGGCAAGGATGTGCAGAAACTGAAAGTCTCACATATTGTCAGTGGAAAAATAAAATGGTTCAGCTCCTGTGGAAAACAGTATGGATGGAGGTTCCTCAAAAATTAACACACAGAATCTGCATGTGATTCAGCAATTCCATTCCAAGGTATATGCCCCTAAGAACGGAAAACAGGTACTCACTCAAATTCTTGTATACCCATGTTTATTATAGCACTGTTCTAATACTTAAGAAGTAGAAACCACCCAAGTGTCTATGGATGGATGAATGGATAAACAAATTGTTCTATACAAATACAATGGAATATCATCCAGCTATAATGAAGAATTACTGTAACTGCTACAATAAAGATTAAACTGGAGTGCAATAAACTAAATAAAATAAGCCAATCACAAAGGTCATATATTGTATAATTTGTTCATATGAAATATCCAGAATAGGCAAATCTATACAAATTAAAGTAGATTGGTGGTTACAAGGGTCCAGGGGAATGGAGATTAACTGTTTAATGAGTGTGAAGTTTCATTGTGGTGCAACAAAAACATTTTCAAACCAAAAAAATGTGGAGGTTGTGTAACACTGTCAGTGTACTAAATGACTCTTCATTTTTAAATGATTCATTTTGTTATATAAATTTCACCAAAAAAAATCACCTTGGCAGGGTACTCTGGATGGAGAACACAGACACAGGAAATCGTATATAATAAGAAAGGGTGAGGGTCTGAGCTATGCACTAACAGGATGAAAACGGAGACGAAGTAATGGTTCTTTAGAAGGGAGAGATTAGAAGTCAAGTGAATATATTAAGAATGAGAATGCTATGAGGACAAGATTTTGAAAGAATGACAGCCAGGATGCATTTCCGGGAAGCTTATGAGGCACTTAGAAATATGAATCTTTACTATTGTACCAGTCTGGGCTACAAATGATGACTGGAGAGTTTTGAATTCACAGAAGTAAATGAGACAGTGGTAGATAGGAAAAAAAAAAATCATGCTTGTTATATAATAGCTTAAAAATAACATCACAATTGGATTTAAGGAATATTAAACAAAAATATTCCTCATAAATAAAAGAAGTACCAAGTGATGGTATAAAGATGTCCATATACTGTTATACTTAAGTTAAGGCCCATACATACATACACTTAAGTTAAGGCCCATATTGGTTATTTGTGTAGAGATGCAATTAAGTCCTTTAAATACCTTTTGTCTTTATAAAAAAAAAATGCTTACAAAAAACAGCACTGAATTAAACTAATTGAAATTATTAAGCTGAGACTGTAGTCCAGATGAGAATGTGCTCTATACTGTGGGTCTTTCTTACAAGGTGCACTGTTGATAAAGGTATTTTTATGAGCAGGCCCACTGAGGATGCATTGCTGCCTTAGCCTTGCCACTGAAGTTTCACAGAAGAACCAGGAAAATATCTTGTGTCCATGAGCTTCCTTTCACAGGGACTGTTTAACCTACATTTTCTCCACTGGGACACGTTCATGATATGTCTTTGACTATCTCTCAACAGGACAGAGAGTCTGTACTCTGCTGTTTCACACATTACAACTTTAATGTTCCTTCTTACATTGAGCTACACTACAATTCTTGTTGATATTCATCTGTCATAAGTAAGTATCCTTGTGCTTTCCCAAACACCTGTGTCAATTTTCTGACAACTGTCAACCTCTCCTAAAAGACACCACTGGTTGAGAATTTCTCCTAAATTAATCAAAGCTCAGATTAAATTTACTGAGAACAGTAGTACTTTTTATTTAAAAAAATAATGTAAACATTAATATCGAATAATTCCATTTCTTTTCAAATGTCACGAGCAGAAAATCTCAACAGCATTATTTAACATAAAAAAATTTATATGTATTTTAGAAATCCACTGTTTGTATTCAACAAAGTGAATGATAGCTGTGACGAACCAAATCTTTGGTTTAACTCTCATTAAACTGTCAAAGATTTGGGCAGACACAAGAAAGCTGTCTCAAATCATGTGAATTTACACCTTGGAAGAACAACTTGATGGCTTTAAAATGGTGCCAGCATGCTTACAAAAATCAGAGTTTATTTGCAGTCAGTAAACTGTGATGAATAAAACAACTACAAACTGATTAGATGGATTATGCAATCAAAAGCTATAAACAGTGGAACATAGACTGGATATGCTACAAACCAAGTACATGCATGGTTGTGTGAGTGTGCACAAGTATGCCTGAGCAGGCACACACACACACACACACACACACACACACACACACACTCTCCCCTGTTACTGCAAGACACTAAGGAAAGAAAAAGAAAAGAGAATTCAAACTCACATCACACTGGAAAGGCTTTTCTCCAGTGTGAGTCCTCTTATGCTCATCCAGGCCCCGCTTCTGGCTGAAGGCTTTGCTGCACTCTGAGCATTTGTAGGGCTTCTCCTGCAGTCAATGAGAAGAGACCGATGACAGTGGATGAGTGAATGCAGAGCCCTCCTAATTAAGGTGGATGTCAGGCTGGAGGGTGTTTTATCCAGGTCTGTGGGATGCCACAGCAAAATCACAAGGGTAACATGAGCTATTTTAAATTTTCAGGGGAAGTAGAAATCATTAACATTTGGACTCTGAAAACTAGCTGAAAGTTGTTCACAATGGCAACATAGAATTTCACAACATATCCTTTTCTTTTTTTTTGGTACAGGGGATCGAACTCTGGACCTTGTGCTTGCGAGGCAGGCAGCAGAACTACTGAGGTAAATCCCGGGGCCTTCACTACATGTCTTTATGGGCATCATACTTTATAAAGCTGGTCTTTGGGTGATTGCTCTAATCTAACTACTTACCCTAAGCTGTCAGTCATTTCTGGCCTCAGAATACTATAAAAATACTGGGCTACTGAAGGCATCCTGAACCAAGAAACCTGAGGATTCCTCATCTAAGTAGTGCTAATTGTTTACAATCTCAGAAAAGGTCCCTAGAAATTAAAATTTCAGAATTAAATTTTCAACAAAGTTTGGGGTAAGTTTTAAAAAGCTACAGCATATCTTTGATTTATGTATTTCATGTCCTATGACTGAAGACGTTTCCGTGGAAAGATTTTTTTTTAAAAAAATCAAAATTACTTTTGCTTTTGTTTTACTGTTTTTCAGACTCTTAAGAAAAAGATACCTCTGAAAAGGAAGAGAAACAGTGTCCAAATTCCTTAGTCATCTTTGCTACTGGGAATTCAACATACCACCATCATTCTGGCCTGTACTGAACTGTGAAATAAATTGACTAACACTGTTCTGTTCAAATGGTTGACAAGTTACTACTTAGTGCAATCAGTAAAAATATTTGTATACATTCAAAGAAACTTATAACAAGTTTTCTCATATACATCTTTAAAAATACTGCTATAAATACATTTTTTAGATTGAGGTAGTGTATTTTAATTTCCTAACATACATTTATATTTTCTCCTAAGTATTCACTTTTTTCAGACCTAAAGAGCAGTATATAAGTAACAAGTCATATGTGTGCCCACTAGCTGGCTGAAGAACTCCAGCAGGCCAGAACAGGGCACCTAGTCATCCTCTTGCCTCCCTCATCAACACCGTCCCATCTCTGCAGGGACAACCATTCTTCTGAATATGTAACTTATCAATCTCTTGCCTTTTTCTATTCTTTCACCACATATGTATGATGTATCCTAAGCGAGATTCAGTATTATTTTGCCTTTTAAAAGTATAGAAAAAGCATCATACTGTATTTTTTGTGTTCTTTTGAATCATCACTTTTGGTCAGCATTATGAGGTTCTAGTCCTCCCATTAATTTGGGGAAACATGCACTCCTGCTCACTCAGTTTTAATGCTGTATGGTATTATATTCAGTGGATGTACCACAGTGGGAATACCAGTGATGGACATTTAAGTTTCTCCCAATTTTTCCTCTTACAAATAACATTGCTGTCAATCATCTTGTACATGCACAGGTGAACACAGTGGAGGGCAATTTTCTAAGGGATGAAACAGAGAGTTGCATGTCTAACATTTCTAAGCAAGGTCAAATAACTCTGTTTAAAGTTAATAGACCACTGTAAACTCCAATATCCATTCTTACAATTCTATCATTTGATCTTACAAACTACAGGGGCTCCACAATTTACCCTGGAGCTATGTCTCAACAAACTCACCAGTTTCCTAAGTCAAAAAATGCATCTAACATACCTAAGGTATCAAAGATCAGAGTTCCACAACACAATTGTAGAGTGACACTGTGGAGCGTCAGCTGTTTACCCTCATGATCATGTTGCTGGCTCTGTTCTCCTGAGAGCTGCAGCTCACTGCTGCTGTGCCACACCAAGAGAAGATCCTACCCTGTGCATTGTTATCCTAAAAAAGATCAAAATCCAAACTTTGAAGTGTAGTTTCTATTGAGTGAACCACTGTAATGTTGAACCATCATAACTTAGGGGCTGTTTTATTTTCTTGGAAAATAGGATCGGATCTTTCATCACTTAGAAGTAATCTTTTTATCTGTAATAATCCTTTTTTATTTAAAAATTCATGTGGTTGTAACACATCTATAAAAGCTTTATAAGTTTAGTATTTGCTGATATAGCCATATTTTTCTTTCAGTTTATACCCTATGTAAAAGAAGTGGCTCCTATAAACAGCATACAACTATGTTTTTTTAAATCTAGATTTTTGTGACCCAAAGATCGTTTTAAGAAGACAAGTTTTGTCTCCCTACATTGGTGATCACTGCTACATTACTATCTATCCCTCACATTTATTTTGGGCACTTATTTGTGCAAAATAAACTTATTTTAT